AGATTGGAGGGAGGTTATAAGTGGAGTTCTTTACGGATCAGACATGATCCCAATCCAGTTTTACTATTTTCAGTTATGACTTGGGCATGAAGAAGTGTACTAATGAAATTTGTTGACCAAAAAAAATGCTCAGAGAGGTCATCAGTATAGAGAGACTGGAATGTTTGACAAGAACTGGATGGCTTGAGGATAGAAGTGATAAAAAATTGAATTCATTTCAATATTTTAAGTTATAAAATCATGTGCTTAGGGATCAACAGCAAGAATTTTCACTCTCAGTTGCAAACCTATCAGTGGAAAAAACAAAGGAGAAGAAAGTCCCAGGTGTACCGGTTGATCACAGGATTGTGAGGCTCCCTTGTATGTTGATCATGAACTTCCCATGTATGCAAATATAGGAGAGTTATTTCCAGTAGAAATAGTAAAGTATTAATGCTATTGTGTAAGCCTCTGGTTAGATACAGATGCTCTGGTTAGATACCTGTGCAGTTCTGGTCTCACACATTGGTGACGCACCCTCTGAGATTGGCAGTGCCCCCCCTGCGATTGGCTGCTGCCAATGCTCCTGGTCGACACTTGCCAAACCCTCCACACCCCTGCCCGCCACCACCACCGCGTCCGCCTGTTGGACCTCCCCGCTTGCCGCCACTGCTGCTTGCAGGCAGTTGCCGTGCCCCACCCCAGCCTCCAGGGGCATGCGTCTTTCATGGTCTCACATGTTCAAAAAAGATGAATGCAAAGTGGAATAGGTATACAGAAAGGCTACTAGGGAATAGAAAATTTATCATATACAAAAAGACTTAAAGACTCAGCATGTCTCAGCAAGACTCAGACCCTTGCAAAAGGGATATTATTGTTCATTAAAAATAATTACATGCATAAATAAGGAGGGGAAAGAAATATTTTAGTAATGCACAAAAATATCTAAATTGTTTTAAAACAGAGCTCTGTTGGTTTATGAACAGGAATATATGACTGATACACTTGCAATAGCACCTGTTATTCCATACTCTATGATGTGCTAATACTGACTACAGATGGTTCAGTACGTACAATTCTCTTGGATTGCTTGGGCAATAGACAATTTCAGGGACTGAAGTGGGCAGGCAATGCCCGCACTGTCAACTACCATGATCCTCAAAGCCTCTGTGAAGCTCCACAAAAGATTAGATGAGTCCTGGCTTCAGGGTTCTTTACTAGCACAGACCAACTGCCGATGCTTCCTCAGCCTGGCGAAGGGTATTTGTACCTGAAAGCTTGCAGAGAAGAACTTTTCCAACTGTTTGAGTTGGTCTAATAAAAGATATCGGATTTACCCAAAGAAACTTGTCTGCTAGATGAGTACTAGACATGCAACAAGGAGGAGGGTAAAAGGAGCACCACAGGCAGCCTTTATGACTATCAGTGAAGCTGCTTGCAGATTTATGCTAAGTTTCCTTGGCTTAGGTTATTAAGGTTGTTTTTTTTTAATTGATTTGCTTTTTGGTTGCTGACTTTGAATATTTAGCACTGCTAACACAAACACATACCCACATTTGCACTGCCCTACACACTTTCATATTGTTAAAAGCAGCTGGAGTTAGTTATATTTTTTCTTTAGTATATTTATTTCTTTAATAAGCATTTGTGTCTGTGCAGCAATTACTGTTGTGAAAGTATTTTCAGAAGAGTAAAGATCCAAAATTATACCAAAAAAAATTAAATTTGCAGAATTCATGGGACACCCAGAAGCTAAAAGCAAGTATTACAAAATGATTGTAGGAGGCCACCCTTCACAATTTCAAGACAAAATGCAGTCCAATACGGGATGCAACCTATAAAAAACTCTGCCTCTCATATTACCCTTAGCAGACACGACTCTATACTGATTGTCAGATAATCTTTATTAAGGCTGTCTTAAGAAAAAAAGTAAAAATCTCTAAGATATCCGTGTACTTTGGAGAGGGAACAACCATTTCGTTCCAAATGACGTCACAGAGATTCTTTAAGGTACATAATTTCTTATTTTCTTAAATAAAAAAAAATAAACACAGCCCCCCCCCCCCCAAGTCAAATTCTCTCTCAGCCGATCACTCATCTATATCATCCTGTGTTGCCAGACTGCACATATAGCATCTCTTATATCCCCTGTCTGTCTTGAACCTGAGCCAGTGTTGATGGGCAGGATTTTTGGTGGCCAGAGGCAAGCCAGCAAATCACCGGTGTTTTGGGTCTGTTCCACAGGAAAAGACTCACCTTTAGCCCTCATTACGCAGGGGACAGCAGTCAATAATCACACAGCTGGAACCTGCTGTATGGGCAACGCTGGGCTTCTGGAGGGAGCGCCATCTCGGCTTCAGCCTGCCAAATACCTGTGCTACTACCCTCCTTCATTTAGTTGACAGGCCCTGAGAGGCCAAAGTACAAGCCAGTTCCTAGAAAAGATCTCTTCTGTGTGGTGCTCTTGGAAACCCGAGAGGTCCTCAGGCATCCTAGCACCAAGCACGCACATGGGGAGCATCAGTGAGGATGTGGCGGGTCTGTGGGTAAGTTGGATGACTGGGTGGGAGGGGGATCCTACAAGACTACGCAGGTGCAGCGTCACTAGCACTACCACAAGGTGTGGACCACGGTGCCACATGTGAAAGACAAGAGTGGAGAGAGCCCGGCATCCCCTCAGCTCCTGGCCCAGCTTGGCTGGTGGGGGACATGTGCGCTTCTCCTTTCACCTCCCTCAGGACCTGTCCAGGTCCGTGGGTCCAATCCTGGGATATGAAGGGACAACGCAGCTCCCCACCCACGCCCCTCCC